CCCCCCTATATCATACATCTCTATTACAATTCCCTTGACTCCACTCCTACACTATACTCCATGTCCCATGACCATATATATATATATATATATATATATATCCCACACCACTTATAGTTGACATACAATATTATACAACATCAGCTTCAGGTGTACAGTGCAGTGATCAAGCCTCTACCCTCTCCATGATGCGGTCTCCCTAGCAAGACATGTGACCACCTGACACCCTACAAAATACAACATTATTAATTATATTCCTCGAACTGTCTTTCATGTCCCTGTGGCAATATTGTAGTTACGTATTTATGCTGTCTAATCCCTTCTCCTTCTCCTTCATCCTCACCCCCTCCCAACTAGCAGCCATCAGTTGTTCCTCTATATCTCTGAGACCACTTCGTTTACTTTGCTCGTTCATTCAGTTTTTTAGATTCCATGGCCTATTCTTGTTCTATTTATCTTATTCCATAAAAACAAACCTTTTACTAATGAATTGTTTTACTGCCTGTCATCATCACTCATAAAAATTCTCAATTAATACAATTATCAAGTTGTGACTGTGCCCATAATATCCCATGGCAGGTAGGAGTATTCATTACACTTGGGAATGAAACCTGAATGAATCTTAAAATGAAAAAAATACTAGTTGCCTTTTTAAAATTTATTATTTTTATTCCAAGTTTGAAGAAAAATATAAGAAACAATAAAATTTTCATGTGCTCACCACCTGGCTTTTAGTTCTCGACATCTTGCTATAATTGCTTCAGACCTTTATGTATGGGGAAGAGAGAATATTCTTAAGAAAAAAACACCCACAGCTAGATTTAAATACCCTAACCCTATCAGTGACATTCTTAATCCTCAATTTTTCTTGCATTATGTATTTTCAAGTACAGAATTAGCTTAAGCAGCACCAATCAAAATAAAGAGCACTGCCACGATCACCCTGAACTCAGTTACCCACCTTGTGATTTTTAAGGGGAAAATAAAGGAAACCTTTTGTTTGCTTGTAGTGCTATCATTCACTTTTGAAGATTCACCAAGACCTGTAGTTTCAAGAAATTAATCTTTCTTTCTCCTTGCCACCCCAGTGTCATGACAAACTTTCCATATTGGGTTGTTCAGCTATGCAGGCTTCCTTTGACGTGGTGTAATTGTCCATTTTCAAATTTACTTTACCAGTTTGACTGATTTTGAGGTACTTCAAAAAAGAGAGAATTTAGTTGAGTTTTTAATGTACCTGTTTCCACCAACTCTAGAATGGAATTTGTCCTTCTAACAGTGAAATACTGTGTTTCCCCGAAAATAAGACCTAATTGGAAAATAAGCCCTAGCACGATTTTCAGGGTGCTCGTAATATAAGCCCTACACCAGAATAAGCCCCAGTTAAGATCGTCAGCCAGACATGACTGTATTGGAATAAATGTAGATTTTTGTACGTGAATAAATGAGTAAAATGCATCTTTTGGAGCAAAAATTAATATAAGACCTGATCTTATTTTCAGGGGAATATGGTATATTGGTTTGCAAAGTTGTTAATAAGATGGTGAATTAGTCATGTATTCCCAGAGTGAGGTAACCGAGGCTCTGCCCTGTCCTGTGAGGACAGTGTTATCATGAGACATTTTCCCTATATCCTTGGAAAATGAACAAACACCAAAGAGGTCTTGGGTCAGATTGTATCTGAACAGGTTTTTCTAAAACCTGGTTCTCCTCTTCTAGGGTGGTAGAAGAAGAGACACGGCGGTCCCAGCAAGCTGCTCGAGATAAGCAGAGTCCCAGCCAGGCCAATGGCTGCAATGACCACAGGCCCATCGACATCCTGGAGATGCTAAGCAGAGCCAAGGATGAGTATGAAAGGGTGAGACTGCGTGTTAACCGGGAGGACCAAAGGGGAGGAGACCTTCGGGGGCTCATGGACTGGGGAAGTCACCTTCAGCATCAGCCGAAATAATTAGTTCAAGAAGAACACATTCCTTATAGTTTTAAGCCTAAACGATAAGGAAAGAAATTTGCTTACCTTAGAGTCTTTGACTTGGCATGAAAACTGGAAATGCTCTTTTTCTACTCCTGTAACATTACTAGGAGGAAGTGGTTTGGGTGTGCAAGTTAGCCTGCACCAGGTAGTTATGGAAAAGCTTCATGCCTCCTCTTCGCCTTCTGCAGTCTCTGTAGGTCTTAGGAATTTATGTAGTTTTTGAAAAGGTAATGTGCACACTGTAATACTAAAGAGTATATGTACAGTTTGTAATTGGTGGTAATGGTACAGCCTTCATTAAACATCATTTGGAATTTTACCCAAATGAGAGGCTTTTCTAGAATTCATTTTTTTCTTTCTGTTTTGTAGTTTAGCTTAAAAGTTAACTGATAACATTTTCTCCCCAAAGTTGAATAAAATGGAAGCTGTAAGCATTCATTAGTTTATTCAATGCATAATTATGAACCGCCCGCTGTGTGCAAAGCAGTGGACATTTCCTGAGTGGTCCTCAAATCTTGTGGCTTTGGAACTGCCCTGGCTTTTCACTCGACATCAGCATTTCAAAGCCCACGCTTCATTGGGGTGAGACTGAAGGTTTCCACTGCTGCACTTCGTTTCAGCAGAAATACAATTGTCACCTTAATCTTCACTAGCGTTGGGTTAAGTACTTTTTTTGTTTTTTGTTTAATCCTCACCTTACCAAAAGATCAAGGAACAAGATGTAAAAAACACTAAGACTGTTTCCCAAACAGATCTACCCTAACACTAGCTTCTACATTGTCAACAGGTGATCCTTGAGAAAGGTTTCCAGTTGGTCAAAGTTAAGGAGACATTGTTAGCATGGCTCCTCCTCCCCCGTCCTCTTAGTGCTCAATGCTCTGAAGCCCCACAATAAGTAAAACAGTAACGCTAATTCCCAGATTGATTTGACTACAGGACCATTTTTCATATACTGCCCTTTAAGAATCTAGAGTTCAAGGAACAAGCTTTTGAAACAGTTTTCTGGAAGGTAGTTTCCTCTGACAAAAAATGGTCATATTCAGGGCAGCCGGTTGGCTCAGGTGGTTAGAGCGCAGGCTCATAACACTAAGGTTGCCGGTTTGATCACCACATGGGCCACTGAGATGTATCCTCCACAACTAGATTGAAACAACTACTTGACTTGGAGCTGATGGGTCCTGGAGGAAAACACTGTTCCCCAATTAAAAAAAAAAACTTAAAAAGAAATAATAAATGGTCATATTCACCATAAACTACAATAAACCTACATTCAAAAACCAAAGAAGGTCCCACTTCCTGGGTAAAGAAGTATACGTTAGAGCCCGTGAAAATTTTCAAGTTGTACCAAATTCCTCAAAGTCTCAGAGAGAATTAGGAGGGATTTATGGACCTGTGAATATTAATATAAGAAAAGCAGTCATCTCTGTAATGAATTCATTAATTCTTAAGAAACTGGATGAGAATAAATTTCAAAAATCATTTTCTGAACTTTTAGATTACCTTATATTCCCCAAATTCCCTCTCATCCTTAATGAGGTCTACATGTGTATCTTGTTCTGTTTTTATAGAGACCTTTCTGTGTTCTGATAACAGATAACTAATAAGTCCAGGACTCTGTCACCTGGTCCTAGTGATGACGAGATCCAGGTACCACACGGGGCAGAGAGTATAGGTGCTGTACACTAGAGTAGAACTGCAGGAGGCAGCCTGGCTCACTCCTCAGCCTGAGGAGTGAATAGCCACAAAATGAAAGAAGGAACTAAAGCTGTGTTTTTGTGCACAAAGCTATAAAGGAACTCGATGTCAAGTGGGCAGCCTCAAAATCTGACATAATTTCTAGTTAGTACACATTACAAAGAATAAGAATATGGAGAGCACAGTAATTACTGTTGTAAAGAAAATTCTTCGACGATATAGAATAAATGTTTTCTATGCTTAGATTAAAACTGAACCTTCGGAAATTTAGTTAAATCTTTGGTCTTTATAATGTGTTTGAAAACTGTCCGTAAATAGGTGGAGCTTCCTTAAAAACCAGTTTTGTTTCTTGTCTGCACTTGGCAACCCAGTCTAACCGAGTGGAGTTGGTATTAGCAGTGACCCATGAATTCATATCTTAGTGTTTGAATGGGCTCTCCTCAGCTGCAGCATGGTTCCCGAGGGCCCCTTCGTTTGTCTTTAGGTAGAGACTCAAAAGAGATTGACAGCGTCCTCAGTGATGGGATTTAATCCCAGCTGTAAATCTCCTCTGTCCAGGAAATGTAATACAATGAATGAAATTCCAGGCTTTTGAGTGAGAGATTGCTAATAGAGACTGTTTGTACATAAAAACTCTCTAATAAACATTTTCTCCCCCAGTTTTGTAGTTAGTTTTAACCAACTTTCCTATTTTTCAATGTAAAGAAAGATAGCTGAAACCACAGTCCTTTACACAGGCCCATTCTGAGCTGCTTTTAGCCACGGATAGAATCCTGGATTTTGGTAGGGTCTGTCTGTCTGTTTTGTTTTAATATAATTGCAAGAAAGTTTTTTTAAACCCAGACTTTTTTCGTTCTTAAAAATAGGAGCACCGGGCCGGCCGAGTGGCTCAGTTGGTTAAGAGCTCGCTCAAGAGTTTGAGCTCTGAGCAACGGCGGTTCGAGTCCAGCCCGAGCTGAGCAGCCGCTGAGCTGCCAATAGGTAGCAGGATGGCTCAGCTAAAAAAAAAAAAAAAATAGGAGCACCATTATTTTTCTCATTATGAAAGCAGGACAAATGAATTATACAAAACTTTATACTTAAAAATTACAGTAAAAGAAAAAATATAATTCCACCACCTGAAAATATTACTGCTAATGCCTTGTTATATATCCTTCCAGAAATATGCATAAATATGTCCCAGTGTGTGTGGTATGTTTGTGTATAGTAGTTTTATTAACTAGTTTTACAAGTAGTTTTTATTAACTTTTTTGTAACCTGTTTTTCCCCAAAGGACAATATCTTTTTATGACAGTAACTACACAGGGAGATTTCATTTGGTAGGATGAAAAAAAATTTTTTAAATAGTTGTGATATTAATAGCTGTGTATGAATATGTTTCCTTCTATGCCTTATATAAACAAAACTCTAGATTTTTCTGATTCTATTAAGAACTCAGAATATATCCTTGTAGCTAAGTCATCATGTATAGCATTTTCTCTTAAGATAAGTTACTTGAAATGGAATGGTAGCTAAAAGGATTTTGACATTTTAAGATTTTTACCAGATACTGTAAAATTTCCCTTCAGAAAGTTTGTCTGTGATTGTCCATTTCCCCCCAATCCTTACAAGTACTGGAAACTCGTTAACAAAGAAAATCAGACTAAACCTTCCAAGAATGGTCTTGCACACATATAAAAAAATATTTGAAGTTCTGGAGACCTTTTAAAATACATCCCATCTCGTAGCTGAATTAAGTATTAAGTCTTGCAGACTCAGATGCCCCCAGAACCGTGTGGGCCATGGTAGCGCCCACAGTGGGCCAGGGTGAAACTGATACAGACAGCCTGTCACTGTGTCTGTCACAGGGCCGGGTGCAGCTCAGCTCCAGCCAGTTGTTGCCACATGAGCTAGTGTCACCACATCATCCAGCTTCTCTCTGAAAATGACAAGCTGGGATTTTTATACAAAAACTCCCAATTTTAAAAATGTTTCAGGAACATTTTATACCTCTCCTTTAAGAACTTGTTATGAACACTGTTTTGAGTTTATATTTTCTCTAATACAATTCAATTCCAAGTATTCTCCAGAATGTGTTAATACAGATTGATGGTGATACTGTACAAAGAAGTATTATATGTTAAAAGAGAAGGTATTTCATAGGCTTTCACACACCATTTGACCTCTATCTAAATGGGTAGGTAGCACGGTGTAAATAGTGTTATGAAATAGTATGAGCACTAAGGCATTTGAATAGAAAAAGTGCGTATCATTCATTCATTTAACATTCAGGTACCTACTCCTATGCTAAGCACATATATTTATAGTATAGTATCAAAAAAATTAACCTGTCTCTAGACCGAAGTTTGGGGCTTTTTATTTTAACCTTGAGTGTTCTAAAAACAGTTTTTGGTATCCGTTTTGACGTGGATAGTGCTCGCCAGATGCTGGATCAGATAGCCCAAATAGAACTTAAGTTTCTAAAGTGTTGTAATTCCATCTCTGTCTAGTGATCATTGTTTTAGGATTCTTTTTAAGAACAAAAATATTGTCACTTTTAGTGTTCTGTACAAGTTAACAGGAATTTTAAAACATGACTGTTTCATCATCTGTAATTGTTATATTTAGAGACCTAAAATTTAGTTTAATTTGTAAGAATATATGATTATCTCAACAAATGGTGTTGGAAACATTTGGCCATCCATATTCAGAAAAAGAAAAAAATGAATCCCAACCTAAATGTAACACCTTACGCAAAAATCAATTCAAAATGGATCAGAGATCTAAATGTAAAACGTTAAGACTATAAAAATTTAGAAGAAAAATATTTTCGCTATGTGACCCAGGAACACCACTCCTGGGTATTTGCTCTAGAGAGATGAAGCTTTTGTCCACACGGAAAACCTGTACATGATATATTCATTCATAGAAGCTGTATTCATAGTCACCCAAAACTGGAAACAACACAGATGTCTTCCTATGGGTGAATGGTTAACAAACCGTAATGCAGTCATGCAGTGGAATACTACTCAGCAGTAAGAAGGAATGAACATCAGTACCATATAGCAGCTTAAATGAGTCTCAGAGGCATTATGCTAAGTGAAAGAAGCCAGCATTCCATTTTGTACAGCATTCTCAAAAAGACAAAACTGTAGTGACAGAAAACAGACCCCTGGTTTCCAGGAATGGAGGGGAGCACATGACCGCAGTGAGGCAGCATAAGGGGAGTTTGGGGGTGATAGAGCTGTTTTATATCCTGATTATGGTGATGGGTATACAGGTAGAACTGTATATCCCAAAAAAGGTTAATTTTACCATATGTTAACTTAAAAAAATAAAATGAAAAAGACCTTTTTTCTTTCCTTTTTATTGTATCTATATGAGAAGATGGATGTCAGCTGAACCTATTGTAATCATTTCACAATTATATATGTAAATCAAACCATTGTGTTATACACCTTAAACTTACACAGTGATGTATGTCAATTATTTCTCAATAAAAGTGTAGGGAAAAATATTTTTAATGGAAAAAAGTATGTGATAAAGTAATGCTATTGGCTTTTCCTTAAAAGAGTTATTAAAATAACAGTTGTTGCTAACACTACTTAACTGTCTAAAATCAAGTGCTCAACATGTTAAAAATTTTATTGTGTAAGTTACATGAGGATCCAAAGCAAAACACTTTCGGGGTTTTTTGGGTTGTTTTTTAAAACGGCATTTCTGATAACCTCAGATTCTGTCTTGTGAGCCAGATAATACACAGCAAACTTTTTCACGTGATATACTTTCCTTTTAATTGAAGAATCAGATGGGCGACTCAAATATTTCCAGCCCTGGGTTACAGCCAAGTACTCAGCTCTCCAATCTGGGAAGCACCGAGACTCTAGAAGAGACGCCATCCGGGCCCCAAGATAAGGTTTGTACAGCTAAAGCCCCAGCTTTGTCCAAGATAGCAAAACACAGAGTAACATTTTGTAAGGAGTTTAATGCAGTACAAGTTTGATTTGTCATTTATCTGTCAAGATATACACTGGCAGCAACCTAATGACATCCACTCATATCATTTCCCCTGGTCCATGTAACTATCTTTCTTCTGGATTTACTGTAGCCTCCTGTCTAACTTCCAGCTTTTCCCCTTGCCACTCCTTTACCTGTTCTTAACACAGCAGCCAGAGTAATCCTGGTAAAACGTAAGTTACATCACGGCATTCCTCTGCTTGAAACTCACCAACGGTGTCCCATCTCTCACAAATAATAACCAAGGTCGTGGCAGTGGCCTCTACCCCTGGTCTCATCTTCCACCTCTCTGCCTTGCTCTCTCGGCCCCAGCCTCAGTGCCTCTTTTGCCTTTCCACAAACGTGGCAGACTTGCTCCTGCCTTGGCACAGGCCTTTGCGCTTATTCCCTTGGCCTGGAACACTTTCCTCCCATATTGTGGCTTGCTCCCTTTCTCCCATCAGGTCTCAGGTGTCTTCCATATAGTGAGGCCTTCGCTGACCACCCTGTTTTAAATAATAATCCTTCCCTACCCCTGTCCTGCTGTGCTTTATTTTCTCCCTAAGACTTCTGACCAGCTAACATGGTTTGTGGTTTTCTTATCAGTACATTGTGTTTCCTCCCCCACCAAAATGGAAGCTCCACAGGGGCAGGCAGCTTTGTCTGCTTTGTTCATAGTTGTATTCTCAGCATCTAGCACTGTAAAGATTTGTTCACTGAATTAGTTTTCTTTATAACTGACAGCTTGATAAATGAACAAATATCAAGTAAAACCCATAGTTTTTTAATGAACTTTTTTGTTTTCAGATAATTAGAGGTTCACATGCAGTTGTTAGAAATATACACAAAGATCCTATGTACCTATTTCCCCATTGATAGCAGCTTGCAAAATACAGTACAGTATCACAACCAGGATATTGACACAATCTACCCATCTAGTTCACATTTTCTCAATTTTATTCATATTCATTTGTGCGTATGTATTTAGTTCTGTGCAGTTTTATCTCGCGTATATAGCTTTGTATCCACTGACACAGAATGCAGAAGACTTCCATCGCCACAAGGATCCTGTGTGTTGCCCTTTTACTATCACACTGACTTCCCTGTCAGACCCTTCGGGCTTTCTTCCCTCCTCTTATCCTTAATCTCTAACAACCACTAATCTGTCTCCAGTTCTACAATGTTGTAGTTTCAAGAACAGTTATGTAAATGGTATCATACAATATGTAACTTTTGGGGATTGTCTTTGTTTACTCAGGGTAATTCCCAGAGATACATTGTTATGTGTATGGATAGTTCCCTTTTATTGCTGAGTAGTATTAACACTTGTAACCATTCACCTGTTCAAGGACATCTGGCGTTTTAGTTTGGGGGTATTACAAATAAAACTTCTATGAGTATTTTCGTGCAGATTTTTGTACATAAATTTCTATTTCTCTGGGGAAAATACCCAAGAATGCAAATGTTGGGGTATTTGGTAATGGCATGTTTTAGTTTTTATAAGAGACTGCCATACTGTTTACCAAAGAGGCTATACCATTTTATGTCCCTATCAGCAATGTGACCATATTGTTTTTAGGTATTTCGATGATAATTAATTTAAGCCAGATTTTGTATGCTACGTTCCTATGCTCCATTTTTATTGTATTTGCATTTCGGATCCTGAAGGTCAAACATAAGTTGTGCTATGTAAAATTTACTTCTTTAAAAATGTGTGTTGAGAGAGGGAGGGAAGCAGAGCAGGGTCACTGGGTTCCTTCTGTCTGGTTTGCCAGCCATGAGTGTTCAGTGGGCCAGCCACTTACTCCCCCTTTCCTTTCTGAACCGTGGGGTTAAGGATTCTTGCATCGTCTAACTCGCAGAGTTATTGTGAGACCCAAATGAAGAATTGGGTCCCAAACAATGCCTAAAGAATCATAAAGCAGTGTCTATCACAAGATCAAAGGTAAGGGTGATAAACCCTAGGTGCTCAGCCTGTCAACAGAAGCACTGGTGATGGATCTGTGCACATACAGAAGTCAAGTGGTGGGCACTCAGAGAATTGTGCCTTCGAAAGTGAATAGTGCTGATGTTATTCCTTCATTTCTCACAGACATATAAAATTACATTTTATAGACCAAAGTGACAAAATTTTATAAAATACTCAGATCTGAATATTGTCAGAAGCCATGTGATTGACTAAAATTAGCTTAAATTCGTAATTAGTCCCTACCTACAGACAGTACATTTGTTGAGTAACACTGCCATCTAGTGCTGAAGAGCAAACAATGCGATCAAGCCTTAATAATACTGAATCCCATTTCAGTTTCATAATTCACTTACTAAAATCCCCTTGGGAGTATTTCCCTAGTTTGTTTTGTATTCTTTTTTTATTCCTACGGTTAAGAATAATACATACCTTATAGTGTGCTCAGTGCACTGACCAGGTAGGAAACCTGGTCATCACAGATCCAAAGAGAAATATGAAATTTTCTAAACAGCAAAGCCGTGGGGTGAAGAACACTGTAAAACCCGAAGTAGTATATTAGAATTTTGTGGTACACAATATATACTGTTGCTCTCTGAATTCCATTTCCCCAGGGGAAATGGTCAGACTAACACTCGATTTAGGTGAGGCATTACAAAATTCTGAATCCAAACATTAAGCACATTCAGACAAGAGGGAAGAATAAAATTTCACCTTTTCTGTGGATGATGGAAGGTGAATCCATGAATAAATAAGCCCAACTACCAGAGGAATATAACCAGTTTTTCTTGTCATAAGGTCCTTTCAGGTGCAGAGACTAGAAAGCTTTTGGGAGCTTTTGTAGAGACTCGAGCTCTACTTAGTGACATGTTTTCAAAAGTTGGTACATTTTGACCTCTCACCACCTGTTAGCTATTTAAGCCTTGGCTGGACCTCTGTTTTTCAGAGGTCAATATCACCATTCAGTTGATAAGGTAACCTATAATCTGCTTAATTGACATCTCAGTATGGTGGCATAATGGTAAGAATGTGGACTGCATTGTGAGACTAGATTAGAGCCTGGTTCTGTTGTTGTATTAGGGCATCTATGAAATGTCAATAATAATCAGTGAATTAGTGGAGTAATGCACGTTTAGTGCATAGGTCGGGGCCTCCCATATAGTAAGCGTTCTGTCTACCGGTAACTCTTACTGCTGTCACACCTTCATTTATTCCTTCTTGTGGGAGATTCCTCTGAAGCCCTAATGCTTTACCACACACTATTCCAGATTAAGTATAAGAATCCATTTCTGGCCTGGCAGAGTTGTAGGGAGGCAGCACTGAGAAATCTGGAAACTTTCTCCTTTTCAGTCCAGGGTCAAGGTTCCGCTGTATGGTTTCATTTTTTTAATATGAAGTAGATTTTAAACCATTAGAAATACCTATTTTTCACTGTAAGTATAGAAACGTTCCAAATGTAAATGCGATAATTTTAATTGTTCAAAAGTCGATTGATGTTCCACTAAACAGGTAAAAATTGCTACCTGGATCATGCCATTCTTGAGGCATAAGATGTATTTCATGGCGAGGCTATTCTGTGTCCTGTTGTTTGTTCCTTTTCTTATAACTTAAAAATAGTTTCTTATCTGGAAAGACTCTTTAAGTTTCTGCAAAGTGGGCCCAATATGGTCTGTGTTTTTCAAAGCAGTTATATTTAAATGTTTCGTGTGTATGTGTGTGTGTGTGTGTGTACACATGCATATATATAAAACAGAATGTCATGGTTAAAATCTATATAATTTGCATTAATGAATAAAAATTAGTGTCATTTTCCAGTACTTTTTTTGCCAAGCTATGTTGATCATTTTGTTCTAAACATAATGTGTATAAAACGGAATTAACCCAACTCAAAAATGGGCAAAGGACTTGAATAGACATTTCTCCAAATAAGATATACAAATGGCCAACAAGTGTTGGCAAGAATATGGAGAAATTGGAACCTCTTGCAATGTAAAATGGTGCAACAGCTGTGGAAAACAGTTTGGCAGTTCCTCAAAAAGTTAAATGTAGAATTACCATATGATCCAACAATTCTATTCCTGGACATATACCCAAAAGAATTGAAAGCAAGGACTAAAACAGATACTTTTACACTAATGTTCTTAGTAGCATTATTCACAATAGCTTAAAGGTAGAGGCAACCTAAGGTCAATCAGATAAATAGATAAACAAGATGTGGTATATGCATGCAGTGGAATGTTATTCAGCCTTAAAAAGGAATACAATTCTGGTACATGCTACGACATGGATGAATCTTGAAAACATGCTAAGTGAAATAAGCCAGTCATAAAAGGACAAGTATTATATGATTGAACTTATATGAGGTACCTAGAATAGGCAAATTCATAGAAATAGAAAGTAGAATTGAGATTACCAGGGACTATGGGTGGGTCAGTTGGAAAAGGAGAAAAGATGGGGAGTTATTATTTAATGGATACATAGTTTCTGTTTTGGTTGATGAAAAAGTTCTATAGATAGTGGTGGTAGTTACACAATGTTATGAATGTACTGAATGCCACTGAATCTTACACGTAAATATGGTGAAAATGGTAACTTTTGTTATGTATATGTTGCCATAATTTTTAGAAATCAGGGTGGGGGGATTATCTCTATGCTCACCAATCAACATTTATGATGACAGGGATCCAAAAGTGAATAAATCAAAGTGTTCAGCTTGGGAAGTGCATTCTACTATGCAGCCTAGACAGAAAGAGAAGTCTGTCCCAAATGAGAATTCGTTGTCCATTTTTAATTATATTGAATGAATTTGAAACGTTTCCAGTGAGTTTTAGACAAACAGCTGTGTCTCTAAGGACTCGGTGGGTCAGGGAACATCAGGGTGGTTTATAATATAGCACAGCCTTGCTATCCCATCAGGTGGCTTTGTTGTTATTTTGCATTGTGGGTGTATAATATTCTAAAGGATTTGATGAATTTTTAATATCCCAACATATTATATGGTGTTCCTTAAAACATATCCAAACACAGATTTATCATGATTGTGAAAACTGTATGGTGTTCATATGATGATAATAGCCAACTATCGCTTGCCGAATGCTTGTTGAGCGGGCACCAGATATTATACTGAGAATTAAAATTTTCACTACCACTTTATGAGATAATTACCACAATTGCCCCCATTTTTCAGGTGAGGGAACTAAATAGAAAGATTTTAGAATTTTCCCAGTTAACAGCTGGGAATTGAACCTAGATTATCTTTTATTTGAGCTCTACATTTTCTTTCAGAAGTAAAAATGGGAGGAAATTAAACCATATAAAATCTTTTGCGATTTTTACATCTGCAGTTTATATAATTAGATGTTAGTATTGCCTTATATTTGAAGTGAGATTCTGAGCCTGGAAGATGCCTTAAGGTACCAGAAAGGGTTATGACACGATAATCTGGTTAGTCTCAACTACGACTATTTGTGGGGGCCTAAATTTGCCATTTGAGAATCCCTTCACTTAAACAAACCTCGTGTCACATTAATTTGTCAAGATATGCTAGTTTTTAAATATTAATAGAATTCTATTTGTTGAATATTTTCTAAGATAAAATGGTTTGGTATGAAATTACAGTTTTTTAGAACTGGAAGAGGCTTCTGCCTCCCCAAGTTATTTCACACTGCCTGCATTTTCCTCAGCCCTGCTCTGCCACCTCTCTCTCACCCAGCAGACGATGCCGTCCTCACCAGAAAAGTAATACACAGTGGCACTCCCTTAGCTTTTTGTCCCTCACGTGTAAACTGCCCTGCATCCTCTGTCCTCTGTGCTGGCCTCCTTTCCCCTTATCCTCCTTGGCCAAGGGAATCCCTGTGCCTCTGCCCTTAAGAGCCTGCTGCCAGTAAACTCCCTCCCTCCCTGCTGTCGTCCCCACACCCACCTATCACAACACAATACCCCTGGCATACTCATAAGTACTTGTCAGGTGGGTGAAACAAGCATTTGCTTGGGAAAAACTGAGCCCCTTTTCCTGTATAAATGTGATTGTAACTTAGTACTATCATGATTATACTTCAGATGCCATGTACTTCATGGCCTTTGTAGACTTTCTGACGCCCTGAAAATCATGTGTTTCAGTGAGTTATTTTTTTCCATATAAACATATATTGAAACAACTAAGCAGTCCACACATTTTAGGAATAAAACCATAAATTGAAGCTGCCTGTGTTTTCAACATACTTAGGTTTGTCTCCCACTAGAAAGTAAGCCCTTCAGGGTAGGGCTTTTTTTGTTACTCCCTGCTGTGTCTCTTGGGCCCAGGTCAGGGCAGGACCTGGCACCCTATGGGCACTCAGTAAATAAAGGTTAAATGAATAGGCAATATTGTGTGGAGGCACAAGAAAGCTCACGAGTGGAAAGCATGAATATATTTCTTTAAATCATTGCAGTGGTATCAGTGAGCCAGATCGGTAAAACATATGTAAATTTAATATTTTCAGGTTTAAATGCTTTGCCTCTTGCTAAGGATTTTGTGATTTGGGAGTAGGAAGGAGGGATGGCCTGCCATTTAAAAAGAAAAAATGTTACATTTATTTTCTGGTATTTGAGACCCAGTCCTCAAGTTCAGTGCCTAGCTTTTTATCAAGAACAGTGAAAATAAAGGTCGGGTTACTTGATCAGCATTTGGTCCCTCTGTTCTCCTGAGTATTCTTTTTCTACACATGTTACTGGCACAATTAATTTTGTAATAAGGTAATTGCCCCTTCACCTGATATTCATTTGCCCAGAAAAAAACTGAATTCTAATACTATCACCTGGAGTCCCTAAAATTTGAATTTTATTACTAACGTCTATCCACCAACTTGGGGAGACTAAATGCACACACTTTGGCTGTAATCCCTCTTCAGTTCCATTTCCTTCTTTTCAGACTCCATCCATCCTTCTGCAAACGATTTTGGAAAAGAAATTTGATGGGAAAGAAGTTTAGTTACTTGGTTTGCAGGAGATTTCTTTCATTGGGTGGTTTGATTTGTTTTTCAGTCTGCTCCATCTGGACACAAACATCTGACAGTGGAAGAATTATTTGGAACCTCTTTGCCAAAGGAACAGCCAACAGTTGTGGGTCTGGATTCTGAAGAAGTGGAGAAGCTGCCAGGAGATGCCTCCCAGAAAGAGCCCAGCTCCTTCCTCCCATTCTCCTTCGAGCAGTCAGGAGCGGCGCCGCAGTCAGAAGGCCTGGGTGTCCACCCAGCTGCCCACCACTCAGTCCAGCCGGAAGCCACCACCCCAGTGCTCATCACTCCTGCCTCCATCACACAGTCCATTGAGAAGCCGGCCCCAAGCTATGCAATGCCGCTGCACCCTGGGCTCAGTCCCACTCTGCCAGCAGAAGCTCCTACTGCACAGGTTCCCTCCAGCTTACCCCGAAACAGCACCATGATGCAGGCGGTGAAGACCACACCTAGACAGAGGTCTCCACTCCTGAGTCAGCCCGTCCCTGAGCTGAGCCACACTAGTCTGACTGCCAGCCAGAGCCCCTTCAGGGCCCCACTGAGCGTGACAAACACCTCTAGTACATCCCTCCCAAGCGTTGATCTTCTCCAGAAACTCAAGTTGACCCCACAGCATGACCAAACACAGACACAGCCGCTTGGGAAAGGTGCAATGGCACCCAGCTTTTCTCCAGCAGCCGGCCAGCTGGCCACGCCTGAGAGCTTTATAGAGCCTCCCCCTAAGACAGCAGCAGCGAGAGCCTCCACCACCCTGAGCAGCATGGTGCTTGCTCCCCTTCAGGTACTGGCCGGAGGGTGGGTGACTGTAACCGAGTGGGACAAAGCCGCAAAGACCGATTTGATTGACATGAAGCAGTAGTTCTTTTTTTAAAGAGACAACTGTTGAGTATGTCGGGCTAGAAGAAAGGGGAGATCAGAAGTCCTATAGTGAGCAAGCAAATAATTGGCAAATGGTGTTGTAACTCAATTCAACTTCCCAAAATATTTCAACTGATAAAGCTAAGAAATAGTATTTATGTTTTCCTATGAGGGTATGTATTTTAGTATTTTTTGCTTGCTTTGCCTGATAGTCCCAGAAGTCCTCATTTGACTCAGATCCCATTTATCCCAAGCTGTGTTCCATTCCTAACTCGCTGTGTCCTCACTGAGTGCTTACCTTGCACCAGCCACACTAGCTGCCATAGAGCATCCCAGGTTTGGAGGCGTGAGGTCCAATAAACCTTCCTAGTGAAACTCACGTTCAGCCGAGATCTGAAGACTTAGCAGAAGTTAGCCAGACAAGGTTGAAAAGGCGTTTGAGGCAAGGAGAAGAGCATGTGCGGAGGCCGGGAGGCACTTGTGAACTGTACTTTGACTGAATCTACTCTGGAGAGAAACTTGGGGGGAAGCAGGTATCAATTGATGAGCAAGACTGTATATTACGTTACGGAGTTAGAGGTTTGTCCTCAGAGCCGTGGGGACTCTTGGGGGCTTTGAGCAGAGGATGGCTTGCTGGGAAAGGAGAAGACAGAAGTAGGATGACATACCAGGAAGGAGGCGACAGTCACTCACGCTTGAGCTGGTGGGGGCCTGAATTTGGGAGTGTGGACAAGTGGATTTGTTAAAAAGTACGATTAGTGGGACTGACTTTGTGGTAAATTGAGTACGGGGGCTGAAGAAGTTTGTTCCTTAATAATTTATAGGGTTGGTGAGTTGCAAGATCACAGAACTGAAAGGGGGTAGAACCTTCTACTCTATTGTAAAATGTATTGGTTGCTTTTTTAGGATTTTAGTCTCATGCCCTTTAATAATAACCCCCAATCTTAACATTTTACCAAATAATATTGTATAAAAGGTCTTATCATAATAATTGTATATTATTATTTCTTAAGTTAACGGGATATTTTGTTTCATACCTTTGAAATCTTGTATAGAAAGAAGAAATTTCTTATTTTGGTTACCTCATTAAGTTGTCATTTCAGGCCATTTCTGATGAGGTTTTCTCTGCAGTATGAGGAGAGAGTTCTGTTTAAGTGTATACCCCTAAAATGTGCCTGCTGCCACTGTTCCTCTTGCTCTGCAGCCGTCGATCTTGAATGCCGCCCCCTGCAGATGTTGACCTCTGGGACAGCACCCTGCTGTCCTGCATGCCACCTATCAATTGGAACTTACATATGTGTACATTTTCATTTACACGGCAGTATGGAATTTTAGGATTCGGGGCTTCATTGAATACTAATGTATTTGCTCTACATCAAGAAGTTCTTTCTCTCCCAGTGAATGAGGACAAAATTTAGCATGTGTAAGTGTAACTCTGGATGAAGACTGTTTATTGCCACCTGTACAAAGTTTAAATCACCTTGTTAAGAGGTATACTGCCAGGGTCTTGCATCTCTGCAGACTCAACAGCAAAAATAGACATGGGCTGTCCCCAGCTCTTAACAGGAGACACGGGTTTCAGCTTCTTCCTTAGAGACACTTAAAGGCTTTGCACGCACCTCTTTTCCCAGGGGAACTAAACGGGGTCAGGATCTATTCCAAAGCTGTCGTTCTACAGTCGAATCCTCAGTTACATTGTCACAAGTTCCTGTCAGCCTCTTCCCATAGGAATTTAGGAACTGGATAATGTGTGAACTATTCCCTACTGGTAACCTAGATTTTTCCCCAGTAACTAGGAAATCTTAATTGAAACTTGCAATATCTGTTCATCTTTTCTTTTTAAATATTGCAGTCTATGCAGCAAAACCAGGATCCTGAAGTCTTTACCCAGCCTAAGGTGTTACCTACTGCCATCACGGTAAGGACGCCCTTTTTCTGAAGAACACATTGTGTTTAAGTTCTGCTGGGTGTAAAGTAAAACTGTTACTTGAGTGAAAAGTTTAGGTTTAGATATGCCCCTTCCTGCTCCCCCAGACAGAGTTCATTGCCATGACCTCTGTAGACCTTGAGTCATCTCTCTCTATGGACGTCTTCGGGGACTCTGTGCATAGGAGGGCAGCGTCAGCCAGGGGACGGGCACTCACTCGCAGTTTGTGAATGGCTGACTGCTTTTCGGAGTAGGAAATAGTCTTTGGCCTGATAGAGCTGTGAGTCCCAGGTAACAGGGAAGCATCACTGCCTCTACAACGTCCCCACTGGCTGACAGCAAGCCGCCTGGGCCTGCATGTTTTGTTGCTCACTTGTCTTCTGCCCCATTTATAAAAACGTGTCCCCACCCTCCATCACGTACCAGCCTTGGAGTCCACACTTAATCTTTACAGTTCCTGAAATTTTACATTCCCATTTGCCTTTGAGCCTTTATACCTCTGCTCAAGTCTCAGAATTTAAACTGAAGCAGCTTCTGACTGGCCTTGTGAACTAGCCTTTTCTGTATTTTGCCCTGCTACATGGTGATCGGCAGTTCTCAGCCTGGTGTTGCACCAAAAACAAGCTAAGTGGCCCAGACACCAAAACCACACCCTTAAAAGCTATGGCAAGATCTTTGCTATTTGTTTTTTTGTTTTTTGTGGTTTTTTAAAAAAGATTTTATTGGGGAATTGGGGAAGGGGAACAGACAAGTCGTTGTCCTTTTGTTCAGTCTAGTTGTGGAGGACGCCACTTCACTGGCCCATGTTGGTATTGTGATCATTGCGCTCTTCCCGGCTGAGGTAGATCGGTCGCTGGCCATTGGACGGCGGCTCATGGCGGCTCACGCTGCCGCCAGCCTCTCACACTGGCTACCGGCCACTCACGGTAGCTCACGACAGCCCACTGGAGCTCACGGCAGCCCTGCTCCAGGTCAACCTGTTGTTCACAATCTTAGCTATAGAAGGCGCAGCATCACTGGCCCATGTGAGAACCGAACCGGCGGCCCTGCTGCTCAGAGCTTGCACTCTCAAGCCAGTTCTTAACCAATTGAGCAACTCTGCTGGCCCCTAAGATCTTTGCTATTTGTAAGTGAGGAGGGTGATAGGAGATTGTTGATTATATCAAATGTGAGATTTATTAATAATACTGATTATTACTGGTTTAGTGTGTTCTGATAGCCATTATTAGCCTAGAAGCACATCTAAATGTTCTTCTAAATGGTGGAAGGAGGTAGATGTTAGTTTTATTTTTGAGAAATTGTGTCTTTGATACCTTCAATTGTATAGTAAATATATTGAACACTATAAAAGAAACTAATGCTTCATATCATTGGATCTTAAAATTCTTTTTATTTAAATAAAATTTACATATGATAAAATCCGATTTTTATGAGTTTTCCACACACATGTCCCTTGAGTAACCACCCAAGATATGTAACATTTCCATCACCCCAGAAGGTTCTTTCATGCCCTCTTTCAGTTGTTTCCCTGCCACCCATATAAAAACTTGACATTTTTAATTCATCATAGAATGTTCTTACTGTGCATACTATGCACAATAATTTTCATCATATTCCCCTTCTGTGATGATCACACTTAGCTTCCCATAACGACTGTAGGTCATTCTTACCACATAAACAGGCTCGTCATCCTTTAGCTAACAAGCTTCCTAACCAGACTTAAAATGCTTAAATGCTTCTACTGAATGTTTCTCTGAACCCCGAATAATTAGCAGTGGACTTCGTGCTCCGGGCTCCTACTGCGTATCAGGTTATCAGGCGTTTCCTACCTTGGGCCTGGCTGCTGGCTTCTGCGCTTTGGTACAAAATGACCATTGTTCCCCTGCAGGTTGCAGGACCCCCACTGGCTACTGCAACAACCACAGCCGTGTCTTCAGTCCTGCTGTCCCCGAGTGTTTTCCAGCAGACAGTTGCAAGGTCCACAGACCTGGAGAGGAAAGCAAGCTCCCCTTCTCCTCTAACCGTTGGAACATCAGAAAGTCAGCGAAAGCCTTCCATTATTCTCAGCAAGTCTCAGCTCCAAGATACATTAATACATCTAATAAAGGTATGTAGGATATCAATTTAGTCTTTGAATTTTCATTCTTTGATTTAAAAAAATTGTAAGTTCTTCTTAGAAATTGGTTCATAAGGTAGATTCAAGGCTAGCCAGCACTAATGTTTCTTCCTGAGCAGGACTAATGTTTCCACCACTCATGGTGGAAAAATATCTGAGTGAATTACAAAATGTTAATCATGGTTGTTTCTGGGTGGTGGGATTCTTTGGGTAGTTAGTTTTGCGAAGCATTTATATGGCTTTTTTCCTAAGCTGTTACCAAGGACATAAGCTCTGATGAGGTGACTGATGCTACCTTCTCTTCCAGAATGACTCCAGCTTCCTCAGTACACTTCATGAAGTCTACTTGCAGGTTCTGACCAAGAGCAAAGACAACCACAACCTATGACTGGAGCAGCAATCATTCTGAACCCAGAATGTCAGCCTCACAAACAAATAGTCCTCATGATGGAAAATTCTAAACAGAACATTGAATTTTGAGAATCCTGAAATTGAGCCTATGAGAAAGAGACTCATTCCTTAAGAATGTTTTCCAAGTGACGTTCTCAGTGATAATGGAGGTTTCACTGTGAAGCATCACCAGCAGACCTTTATTTTGAAAAAACAAAAACAAAAAAAAAACATGTTAAGTTGTGTGGATGTTTTCATCAGCTGTAAGCAAGTATGCAAAATAAGAAATCTGATTTTTAGCTGCTTTCACTTTCAAGGTCTTAAAGGGAAGAAGTGTCACCAGCCTTTCAGCAGTCTAGAGTTCAGCCCAGCTGCCACCCCTTACTCCCTTCTCCCCGCCAAAACCTGAGCATTAGGCTGATAGTCACATTCTGAACAGAGCAGACATCTGCTCTGTGTGAAGTAGCTTTGAGTTTTATGGATCAGAGTTTAAGTTGGCAAATTAGGACTGTTTTGCTTAAGTGAATTATATTTGCTATGAATGCCCCATTTGGGCCTTTAAAGTTCTGAAAATTTCTTAATTGTGTTTTGATTTTAAGTGTCCCCAGTGCTGCCAGCAGTAGGCTCCCAGCATGGTGATACCATTTGAATTAGGACCTTGTCAGCCCCAGTGGTGGTGGTGTGGGAGCAGGCATGTCACACCTTTGAAACAAAGGCTGGGACTAGTAAAGCTCGAATTCTATCAGAAATTTTCACTTTAACTCTTCAGTGGTTTTAAAAATGTTACATTTCGCCTTATTTTCCTTTTCTGTCTAAACACAGACGTCATTGTTGATTGTTTTCTTTAACTCCTTGACAAAAGGACCAGTGGACCAATCCAACAAAGCCATTCTGGTTCCAATCCTCAGTCTACTGAGAAGAATAGTTTTAAAACTATGCAGAAAAGGGAGCTGTTATTCACACTGCCCTTACTTTATTGTGGAATATGGAGTTAAAAACAGTGAAATTCAGAACTTTACCAATGTATTCCTAGGCTGTGAAGACTTTTGCAGCCCAAAGTGTGAAAATATGTAAAGATGCTTTGTTATGCTGCTATTAATCTGCCATGATTTATATTTATTCTTTTATGGCATGTAATGGTGATTAGTAATATTTTAATGTAGATTTTGATTGATTTCAGCAATAGTAATTTTAAGATAATTCTTTGAATGACAGTGTCTTTATTTCTATAGTACAGGTCATTTTGTAGTATTTAACCAATTAAGATGCACTGCTTACTTTTCTGAGCACTATTTAATGACTGGGTAAAAACCCAAGTGGCTCAACCAGCTAGCATAAGGATTAGCTGTGAATAATGCTGACAGATGTGATGGTTCCTTGGGAACAATCATTTAAGCTTTAATGGTAACTCAATCATAAGTCCATAGATTTTTTTCTAACTGAGATTTTAGAAAATCACTTGTGAATTACATACTTCTTTTAGTTTGGTCTTAGGGTTTTTTAGCATAAAGAATGCTTTGATTGGCTTTTGTTTATCTAAACATGCTTCCTGGGCAACTTTTCTGCTTCTCAGTTTAGTGTCTTCTATTACTGTCTACCTAGTTATGTGTGAATTATGCAGAAGTTGTGGAAGCTTATAAATTCTCATATTCAGTTAGGAATAGTTTGTTTTCAAAGGTAGTGTGTAAATTCAGCAACCCAAAATGAATTGCTCGTGCATCACCGGGAAAGAGAATGTTACAGTAAGATAAGAGTGTTACTGACACCAGGAGATGGTGTCCAGGGAACCATGACTGTTCTCAGAAAACAGTTGCACCAGTAGGTTTGATCACACTCCAGATCTAGTCTCAGTGGGCTTTGGTAGACAGAAGAGTCAAGGGATTCTTGTTACAATAGACGTTTGAATTGAAATGATGATTTGAGTATGTATAATATTATGAGAGAGTTAAGAGAGAATATCCTGAAGAGGGTCTGTAATCAAATCTGCTAATTTTCACCCTTTAACCCAAAGGAATGAATATGATAGACGGAAAAGAGAATCTGTGATAAGGTTTCCTTAATGTGAAAAATAAACTTTTAAGTGCCCAAGTTATGGCGAGTTGAAAAGGGTAAGCCTGTTTCAACTCCCAAATTTATTTATATATTCAAAGCATTTATTGAAAATTCAGAAGCCAGAAGTTCACTATCATGATTACCAGGAAGTTCAGGCCAGAATGAGTCTCTAGAAGTCAGGCCAAGCCTGGAGAGTTGCAGTTGGATGACGCTGGCCCAAAAGTCGCGGTTTAGTTGCCTTATTCCTCGTTCAGGCTCACTGACCAGAACCTCATGCTAGCTTACGTTGCATGTTTACATTGCTGCAGTGTCTTTACTGGAACCTTAATTTTAAACCTTAGTTGAATCAAAATGGACACCAAAACAGAGATGCTTATTCCTAGGTTTTGCAGAACTCCAGGTGAGCTGCATTTAGGCCACTCTCTATCTTTGCGCCCATCCCCAACCCCAGGGGGTGACACTGCCCTTCTATTGTGCTTAATGTGATGTCTGAATGGACTCACGCACCTCCCAAAAGGCCTTGTTCCATTAAGGCAAAAGCTCCTCACTGTGCATATCTCTGGAGATTTGTCCAGTGTGACTTTGAGTTTTCAAATGGCTGTCAGTGTCAGGAGAAGCATTTCATGCTGTGTGCATGTGAGTGTCCACAGCTTACCTTTGAAGGCTGTGGGTCACCATCACAGTGGTGGTGTAAGAGCCCAAGTTGCCCGAGATCTTTCTCTGCCAGAGGATGCACAGGCTTAGCTTAGGATATGTCTGACCCGATTTTGCATGTCAAGCCTTTGTTCTTTTTCCGCCTTTTTTTCTTGTAAAAATTATGAACCCCATCAAATACTCTATTAGGTAAATATTTTTAAATCATGCAGCTTTATTACTTTCCTCCCCAAAGAATGTAGTTTGAAATTTTCTCCTTTTGGTAGTAGAGGTCATAACTGCCATTGTATTACTAATAATGCAACATGAAATTAAAGGTGCCTAACTGCTTCAAAAACAAAATCAGCCATCATACTCTAACTCTGGGCAAAATGTAGAAACACAGAGGAGTGAGAGGTAGCACAGGCATGAGTGGGCCCAGTCTGTGTGAGTGAAAAGAGTCACAGGGACATGCGTCCTGCATTCTTGCTGCACATCTGCTGCTGAGCACGTGTTTCTCACTTTTATGGTTTTCTTCTGTTGTATTCAAAATACCTTCTGGAACCAATAGTGCTCAGGTGTTTAAAATGTTAAGATCTATACCAAGTAAAGCAACTTATACTGGGCTTTTTAAAAGCTGTGCTTGAGACCATTTCCCTGAGTGAACCGGCGCCTCACGGAGCCTGTTTTTTAAGCAAATTCAGCAGGAGAGGTGTGCACTGTTTTACTCGGTTTCGTATTTGATTTAATATCTTCATTTGAAACGCTAAGATGCAATATGGTTCACTTTGGGGAAAATGCAAAATTGTGTTTCCCTTTTATCTGTGTGATTTCTTAAACGTGTTTTTAAAATGTATTCCGAATGGTTTTTTTATCCTGTATTACTGCTTTGGCCATGTGGCTCTCATGACTTTCAGTGTACCAGATTCTCAGCTCCCTGAGATGTGGGGATGAGAAGCTCTGGAATTACAGCAAGATTTTCGTTCCATGAGCGCAATACTGCATTGTTAACATTTTTAATGGTATGAATTTTATACCATCTGCGTATGTTTGCAAATATTAAGTTATTACATGTTTTCAAATGAGCATTTTTCATCCTAAATTTTATATGTTTGCAAATATATTTTTTTAATAAAAGTCCAAAACCAAGTTTTAGCACCTACTAAGTTTTAATTGTGTCTTTATATAATTTGTAGATTTTCAATGTGTTGCTCCGCTTTGCCAGAGCTGCATCCTGGTGAGATGGGGATGGGTTGAGAGAACAAAACCGACAGAGAAAACCCTTGTCTACCTATTTTCAGCCTGTGTTCTGGCCAGCTGAATCACAGGCCACATGCATCCTTAGGTCTGAAGCTTAATATGAGTGGACATCAGAAGAACTTCATTTCCTCCTCTTAAGGTTTCCCCAGATGGAGGGTACAGTTTTAGTCATGGCCAAAACACTATCTATAGGGGACTTTATAGGCTGGGGCATTTCCCAAACTCACTAAATTCATGTGCATTGAGCTGTCATTATGTGCCAGGCATCTAGGATGATAAGGAAGAAAAGAAAGAATGAGGAAAGTAAAAAGTGATCCTTATGGGAAGTAGACAAAAGTTTAAAGAAAAAAAATGAGTTAATCATATATCTTCCTAATAACATTTTAGTATGTTTCCAAACAAAATTCTCCCTAAAATGTTTGCTACGCCTGCCTGCTTTCTTAGAGGATATGCTAACTCTTATTTTATGACCTTATGACCATTTCTACACACACACACACCAATAGTCATTAGTGCTGCGTGCTCATTCAGCACTCCAGGATTGCTTATTTTCTTGATCTTCACTTTTTTTTTTTAATTTTTTTTTTTAATTGGGGAACAGTGTGTTTTTCCAGGACCCATCAGCTCCAAGTCGAGTAGTTGTTTCAATCTAGTTGTGGAGGGAACAGCTCAGTGGCTCATGTGGGGATCGAACCAGCAACCTTGGTGTTATGAGCACTGCACTCTAACCAACTGAGCTAACCAGCCGCCCCTTCACATTATTTTCTTTTTTTTTAAGATTTCTTTTTAATTTTTTTATTGGGGAATCGGGGAAGGGGAACAGACAAGTTGCTGTCCTTATGTTCTTCAGTCTAGTTGTGGAGGACATTGCTTCACTGGCCCATGATGGTATTGTGATCATTGCGTTCTTCCCAGGTGAGGCAGATCGGTCGCCGGCCTCTGGACGGCCACTCATGGTGGCTCTTGGCCATTCACGCTGGCTGCCCACCACTCACGGTAGCTTACGGCAGCTCACTGCAGCAGGGGCTGCAGCCTACCCCATCGCTGGCAACTCACGGCAGCCCAGCTCCAGGTTGAGCTGTTATTCAGCATCTTAGCTGTAGAGGGCAGTGTCACTGGCCTCATATGTGGGATCTGAACCGGGGCCTTCTGGCGTCCCAAGCCAGCTCTTAACCATCGCGCCACTCGGCTGGCCCCACATTATTTTCTTGATCTTCACAATAACCCATTTTAGGAAGAAGGAATTTGAAACAGGAGTGATTGAAGTATGTGCCAAAGGTTGCTTATGAAGCCAGTGGTGGACCAAGAACCTGAAGTCAAGCAGAACAGAGAGCTGGTCTAGAATTCCTTTCTTCACTTCGTTGCCTCCATGATAAGTTATTCTAGATTGCTTTTTATAGTTTCTCAGGTCACTTGTTAGCATTATTTATTAAAAGCTAAAGTGGTCTGCTCAACTGCTGCTTTTCATCTGTCATGATCTAGGAAACCAGGTAACTAGGTTACCTGGAATTTGGTGAAAAACTAAGGTCAGTGGGTACTGAATAAGCTGTAGAGGATGGGGTTTTAGGTTTCTGGGTTGTTTCTAATGACGTTTTCACTCTGTTTATGGATCTTGGTTCATAGATTTAGATGTTGCTAAAAGCCTGATTTTTAAGTCAGGAGAATGTGAGTGGGATTATTGAGGCTTCTGGAAAGCAGTGTTTGTCTCAGAGAGCTATTAAGAACCAGCCAGTCTCCTACTAGATAAGCTAGAAATTGGGCCACCGGTGGTCACTGAGAGGGAAGCCCACTTTTAAATGAAGCCAGGTCCTGGGAAGGCAGAAGGGAAGAGCAGAAAGAGAGAGTCACTCAAACCCTGAAGCCCAGTCTACATTTCCATCTTTGAGAATGTGCATAATGAGTTATCTATTACGTGTAATGTGAAGAGGCCTGACTGGTTCCTAAAAGGGTGAGACCAATTCTAGGTTCTAAACCTCTTAGCGTTTGCTAAAAGGAGAACACAGCTGCCACATGCACAAACAACCCGTGGTGAACCTGTGTTGTCCAAACGGGCAGGAGCATAGAGCCCTAAACCCCAAGTGAGCCTTACTCATGTCCCTTCAGGTTCACCAGGTAACTTAGCTAGAAGTAATGGTGATGAGTTAAAGACTTCATGTAACCAACAGAAGGAGAATGGCTTGAAAGGAGGTAATGCAAGGTTAATGTGAGTCACATTGTATTCGACAATCATTTCTTCTGGATGAGTTTGAATAAATTTGAAGAGCAATTCCACAAGTAATCATAACTGGCATTTGTCATGTGCTGCATGCTTTGTATGCATTCTCATTTAACCCTCTCCACACCCCTGAGGTGGAGGGAAAGGGCCATACACAACCCCAACTTCCTGTCATCGTGGGAAGTGGCAGAGGCACTGGCTGTGGTTAGACTGATGTCAGTCCATCAGTCTGAAAAGGGCCCCAGAATATGGAGCCAGGACAGCGGGAACTATTGTCTCACCAGGTCCCTGTCACTCCAGGAAGGTGGGTCTGGTGCTGCCTGAGCCCTGGTGAAGTTCTAGAAGGCACCCTCAGCAAACCATCCCCCATTTTCTATGGAGTCTTAACAGTGACCTGGCTTCTGAAGCAGGTGCAAAACCTCAACCCCTACACGTTTTGCTACCCAAGCTCCATTTTGTTGTTTCTATCTCTGATGTGTCCCTTCCCCCAGAGATTGCCCCTCAGGCCTCTCCCAGGCAGGGGTCTTTCCTCTGAATAGAGCTGGCTAACATCCTCTCCCTGTCCTGCTGGCACTGAGAGGTTCCCTGCCTTCTGTTTGACCCCGCACCCACCAGACCATCAGTGGGAAAGGGGACTCTGGCTATAGTATGTGGGGCAATAATGGCCCCCATTTACCAAGTATGGTCTGCACCAGGGGCCTGCACTCCAGCAGGCACCTTGCTCTCTTTTTAAATATTTTGTAATTCCACTTTTCCTGTCCTGACCTGGAATTCAGAGAGAATGTGACCTCTGCCTACAACACACAATTTTAAAATAATACCCTAATCGGGATATAATTTTATAATGAAATGTTCCATATTAAATATATAAACACTTCACACGACTACACAGATTCTCAAAATAACCCCATACAGAAGCCCTGGTCTTCACTCTGACACTTGTCCCCACCTTACCCAAAAGATGGCTGCTGTCCTATCAAGGGCCCAGCACACCCGGGAGGCAGCTTCCCCCACCCTTCCATCGCCTACAGCCCTGACTCTCAGCACGCATGGCCCTCACTCACCTGGGCTCCCTCCCAAAAGGAGACTGAAGAGCTGTTTGTGCTCTAGCCCAAGAAGGAAAGGTTATTAATTAATGCTCCCAGAGGACTTTGGAGCCCTTAAATGATGGGCCCATGTGCTGGCAGGTGGGAGGAGACACACGCAGATACTACTTGTTAGTCTTCATGCAACTCGTGGGGCTGAGGGTGACAGCTATTCTACCCCAGACACGATACTTGTCACCACATGTACACACATGAGCATGCACGCACAGACGCACGCTCACATGGAGAACCAAGACGGCTTGAGCCCCTTTGTACCCACAGTATGGCACATAGCAGAGGTGCGTGTGGCTATTTGAGAAATAGAATGAATTTCACTTTCTCCACAAGCTGTTACCTCACTGTTCATATGAGGAAACGTGATTGAGTGATTTGCCTAAAGCAATCAGTCCAATTTCACCCAGCTAAAGCGTGGCAAGAGGCAAGAGTTGTCCACGCCACCTCCCTCTGGGCTTGTGGCATGTGGAGAAAGCCTCTAGGTCCCTGGAGAATTTTGAGAATTTTGAAATGACAGCAGCATTGCTCTCCTTGATGGGGCAATTGATCAGGGAAGGGGCAGCTTTGCCTATTGGGGTTATTCCCAATTACCCCTCACAGATGTGGCTCTCAGAGGGCTTTCTCAGGCCTAGGCCAGAAGAGGGGGAGGAAGGCTCAGAGGCAGCCTGCCAAGCAGGGAAACTGCGGCCCAGGGCAGGAGGTGGGTGTAGACCCAGCCGGCTTCCCCCCTCCACAGCTGTTACTGCTTTCCAATTCAATTTTTTAAAATTTGAAATGGGTTTATTGTCTCAATTCCCCTTACCTATGCCAACATGACACAGCTACAGTTTTGTTGCAGGAAATACTGTTATTTCAATACTGCTGTCTGTGGTCGCCTCCTCCTTGGAGACTTCCCTGATCTGCGGCCACAGCAGGTAATGCTTTTGTGCAGATCACAGGACAGTGAAACCTGTGCACATAGCCCCTGCCAGCTTCTGACCTGTCAGCTCCTCAGACCAAGAAGAGACGAAATCATCTTCCTTCCCCAGCATCTAGCATAGTACTGGCACGTAGGCTTTGGTGAACGGAAGGAATGAATGCATGGAGGAGTGAATCAAAGGGACGGTGATGGCAAGACCATTTTCTTGTCCTGACTGGGTGACGACCAGAAGCAGCACTCTTCTGTTTTGCACAGTAGCACTGAGCAATGCTTTCCCGAGGCCTCATCTACGTCACCAGAACGGGAGGCAAGCTGGATGCCCTTGCTAATCCTGGGGACAGGGGTGGGGGTTGAGAGAGTAAAAACTATTGTGTTTGGAAAGCAGCTAACCTGGATTTGGAGCTTTCTGTGTCTCCTCACTAATCATCCCACCCAGTGGTATGAGGCACCATTAATGGCTTCGTGTTTCCCAAGAGGAGCAGTGGCTCAGGACAGTGCAACAACCCTTCCACATGCCTTTCCCCAGAGTGCTTTAGTCCTACCCTCAGTAACCATTTACTTCAGCTATTCAACAACCACCCAGGAGAAAATCCACTCCATTCATCTCCCCACAATAAAACAAACACGTGCATCTTTTATATCCACAAGAACAAAA